TGAAAAGGTGACAACCCTAGGAATAATGGTGGTGGCTCATGTACCGGAAGCTGCACTGTACCTCTGTCTGGGGTCCCGCACAGCTCACTGACATCACTGGCTGCCAGGAGCTGGGTGGGGTGCCAGGCAGAGCATGACGCTCAGTTACTGAGAACCAGTGATGTTAGGGAGCTGTGTGAGACACCGGCCAAAAGCTCTTAGTAACCTGGGATGCAGCCCAGGTTACTAAGTCACATTTGCCACCCCCCGTGAACCAATGCGATGTGGCTTGAGGGCAACACCCTCAGGCTGCCTCATTATAGGCACAACCCTGGCGCGGGTGGCACTGTGTGTCTGGGGGATGCAGATAAGCCGTGATTTCTAATGGTGTCCCAGCATATTGGTAGTGAGCACTTTTGAAAATGACTATTGATCCGAAGTCTTGCTTGGTCTGCATAAATAATAGACCCAATTGCACATTTTTGGCACATCGCATAAACTGGGAGGACTCTGGTGGAGGTAACTGTGGCAGTTAAGTGTAAAGGGGAAGGTCTGAAGGATGGAGGGGGGTTGCTGCAAACACAAATTTATATAGCTCTTTCACCAAACTCACATGCAGCTGTCCCATCTACCAAACACATAAAGGTCTATTTATAAACAATTCCCTGGGCCTTAGCTCTTTGAATATCTGTGAATGTTCATTTTGTGCAAATAATGATAAACATGAATGCTCCTAATATATTTTTTTTCCAGGTGGAATGTAGTGTAGTGTAACACTTCATTATGTCCACTAGTTGGCGCTGAGGAGCATAGGGAACAAATACTACTTCCCTACGCTCATCAGCTCCATCTAGTGGACATATTGTGTATTACATTACAATACATTCGGCCTGGGAAAACAAATCAATTAGGAACATTAATTTTTTCCATCATTCATCCAAAACGAACATTCACAGATATTCGCAGGGTAAAGGGCCCTGGGAATTGTTTACTAATAGACCCCACACTGTATATAGCTGGCACTATAGCAAGTGAAATAAAAAAAAATGAAGGGAAATACCATTGAAATTATATTTGAATATCTTTTCTGTACATTCTATATCTAAGTGTTGCATCTCAGACCTCACAATACACTTCCATTCCCTCTTCTCTGGTTTGACAGAAACATATTTTGTTGCTCACAGCACCCAGCAACTGTCCAGTTATCATTTCTGCAGTTCGGAGTTGAAAATGAAATAGGATGCGGATCATTTGCAAGTAATTCTTTTCAGACAAAAATCTAGTGCGTAGCTTCTAAGTGTCCCCTCCAGATCAATGGACGCCCCTTTGGATTTAAGAAAATATATGTTTTGGATATTGCTTTGGCCCTTCCTGTAGGTTGATGTAGCAGACACTTCATCCCGGTCCAGTGGACATGTAATAGCTTACCTGCGTCAGTGCATGAGTCTGCAAGTTAGTCCTGTAACCCCCCCCCCATCTTCCCGGCTATATAAGCAGCAGCAGACGTCCAAACCTTTGCAGGTCCATCACCCCCCTGACTTACTCTGGAGGGGCAACAGTACAGACGTCATGGCACGGCTATCCATTATCACCTTCATCTGCATTATTGGTGCAGCTTCTGCTACAATAGCGGGTGAGTACTGGATGGAACGTATTAAACTGGTTGAGTATCTTATGCCTCCTATTGTAAGGTGTAGAATAGATTATTTGATGGTTAAACAAAAAAGTTTGAAGCACCCCCCCTCCCCGCACTGCAAGGGTTAAATGCTCATTACTTCTAGGGATTAGAGGCTGTATTACTTCCAGTAATCCTTGCTCCGGTGCTCTTCTCTTTTTACGGATGCTCCGGGCTGTGGGCAGGTCCTCGGCATCACCACGTACAATGTAGGGCTATTAATCCTGCATTGTATGTGGAGGAGGTAAATGTGCTGTCAGAATGTTTATACTGCTCTGATATCCAGTTCTATTTTAAATCTATGGTTAAGGAGATTCCCAATGTATTTCCATAAATCAAAATTTACGCTAGTTCTGACAGTGCAACCACGGCCTGGAATGCCTCAGAGGAGGCTTCAGGGGACCACATAGATTCAGGGTGCCTATTTGATTGTGGAATAGGTAAGTAAGGTAAGTATTACTCCGTATCCCTTTACCACTAGGCAAAAAACAAGCATTTAACACTTGCAATGGGATGGGTTGGGAGGGGCACCACAAGGGTATTTCTTGTTCTTGTGCCCGGAGTTGGGCTTTAAGAGACCCAGCCACTTGTTTCCTATCTTTAGGTCATGATTCTTCTCTACCACTAGATGTCACCAGATTGATTGTTTTCAGAATCTATTCATGCGCCTTCATGTGATCGCCGATAATAAAGAAAAGTTGTACCCTAAAAACAATTTCTATCGTAGTAATGTAAATGAAAAGGAAACCTGAACTGCCAGAAATAAAACGCTGAGCTCCTTCTGAAATTACGAGCTACCTGGCTAACTCTGCCTTCTATACTTTCTGAGCCACTGAGCCCAGTGGTGTGTTTAGGTTTTGTGCTGCCCTAGGCAAGATTAAACTCGGCTACCCCCCAATCTAAATTTGCCCCACCCCTTCCTGTTTAAGGCATTTTGTGTAACTTGTAAACTGCTGGATACAGTGAGCACACTGTATCCAGCTTCTGATAGGTTGCACTATTTGCATAGCAGGGAAGCCTGGGTCTAAGGTGGGCTGTGCTGGGTCTATGGTGGGCTGTGCAGGGGCTATAGTGAGCCTTGCGGGATCTCAGGTGGGCTGTGTGGGGTCTCAGGAGGGTTGTGCGGTGTTTCACGTGGAGGGCAGTGCGGATCTCACGTGGAGGGCTGTGCATGATCTCAGGTGGGCTGTGTGGGGTCTCAGGAGGGTTGTGTGGTGTTTCACGTGGAGGGCTGTGCATGATCTCAGGTGGGCTGTGTGGTGTCTCAGGTGGACTGTGTGGGATCTCAGGAAGGCTGTGCAAAGTCTGAGGTGGTGGGCTGGGCTGTGTGGGGTCTTAGGAGGAATGTGCAGGGTCCCTTTCCCTGCACACATGTGCTGCTCCTCTTACCTGCAGCCCGAAGTGCCATTAGCACCAGCAGGACATCCTGCCATCAGATCACATGCTATGGCCAGCCCCGAGCTGCATGCTGCTTCTTCTACACCTCCTGTACAAAGCCGGTTGGACCGCAGCTCACTGGGGCCCCCCTCCTCCACCCGGCAGCGTTCTAATTAGGCGGTCACTTGTGGGGCTTTGCAACCTCCTAGATTGCCTGATTATGTAGCCACCGCTGCCTAATTCTGTGCGGCCCTGCCAGCCCTGCTTACCTTGGCCCACAGGGCAAGTGCCCAGTATGCCCAGTGGCCGTTCTGGCACCATCTGTCTCACTGGTTGGGGGTGGCATTGTTTGCATTTGCTTGTCTATTTTAGCAGTGTAGAGTTATTGTTCTCTGAACTTCTGCTACAGACTGAAATGAATCCTGTATGCCTAATGCAGTCACAGATCACAGAGTGTCTTCTCAGCTAAAACCTTATAAAATAGCTGTAAAATTCAGAGTTAAAAGAAGTTTGTATTAGTGTGCAAGAGCAATATTCATTTTGTCATAATATAAAATGGCATTATGGTTATTTGTAACATTGCTACTACAACTGCAACTTTTATCTACAGCACTGCTACCTTGTAGTGTGCTGACTATGCTGACAGCCCTCCTGCTGTCTGTCCTTGATTAAGATAAATGACACATAGGGGTGTACTTTTAAAGGAGAACTATGGGGTCAGGGCTTTTCCCCATAGTTCTCCTTAGGGTAACGGGAGGACACAATCTAGCGTCCTCCCATCACTCTAAGCTCAGTATACCGCAAGCTGCAGCTCGCGGTATACTGAGACGCCGTAGCTGCAGCGGATCCCGTCAATTATGTCTGGATCCGCCCCGGCTGCGTGAGTGACAGCTGGCTCTGCCTATCTAGAGGCAGAGCCAGCTGTACCCGCCCCGTCCATTTTGGGTGGCACTTTCCAGGGGGACAGCAAAAAATGCTCACCTCAAACCAGTGAGACAGAGCCTCACCTGCCATTACCCGTAGCATTGAAAATGATCTGATACGAAGCACCGATACCAGTGCTTTACATTTTTAAACACAATCGGCTGCGGCAAGGTCCCGCCCTTGGTGGGGACCTCAGGGCAGCCTTCTGGGGACCTCACGGCGCTGCTTGCCGTGCCGGCAGCACATCTCCTCCGTCCTGTGGAACCACGCTGCCTGCACGTGCCCACAAGACCATCCGAAACCCTCCTGAGACCCGCACAGCCCTGGTGACACCATGCACAGCCCACCTGAGATCCTGCACAGCCCACCTGAGACCAGAACAGCGTACCTGAGACCCTGGAGACATAAGTCCCCCACCCAGCAGTAACATAGACAATGTAGCTTCATATTATTCTGCATTGCTGTATAATGTATTGCTGTGATTTGTAGTCCTCTATAGTTGGTGGTATTATTCTGCATTGCTAATAGCTCAACATGTCAGAAGCTGGATACAACTTGCGCACTGTATCCAGCGACTGACAGGTAACCCAAAATTTCTTAAACAGGAAGGGGGGGGAGGGGGGGAAGGGTTGCCTGGGCTTAGTCTTGCCTAGGGCAGCACAAAACCATAATACACCACTGATCATCATCATCATCATAATAATAATAATACAACGTAGACTCAAAACAAAAACTTATGGGTTGCCTCAACCCTGTCCCCCTATAATACATTAGATACAACAAAAGAGGAAAAAAAGGGTTTGTGGAGAGATACAGTAGATACAACCATTGCTTGTATAAAAGTTATATCAAAATGTATTAGACATACAGAAATTTATGGATAAATAAGGTAAAATTGGATCTCATAAAAATGAATTAAACATTCAATAAATATATGCCCATTCGGTACAATCTCAGGCCAATAGCTTCTATGTTTATATATATGTACACATACAATAAAAAATTCATAGTAATCCAAAGTAATTAATCCAACTGCATAGCTAACATGATTGACCCAATGGTCCTCAGTATTCAATATTCAAGTGCATAGCTGACATGATTGTCCTAATAGTCCCAACGCGTTTGCATTTTTTATTGTATGTGTACATATATATAAACATAGAAGCTATTGGCCTGAGATTGTACCGAATGGGCATATATTTATTGAATGTTTAATTCATTTTTATGAGATCCAATTTTACCTTATTTATCCATAAATTTCTGTATGTCTAATAAATTTTGATATAACTTTTATACAAGCAATGGTTGTATCTATCTCTCCACAAACCCTTTTTTCCCTCTTTTGTTGTAAATAATACAACGTAGCATAACTACTCAGTATCTGTAAGCTTCCAGTCCCAATGCTGAATTATTTACAGTACAAAACATACCATACCGGTTTTTCAGTATCGAGGACGAGTACTGATACCGATGCTTCTGCTGGCATGGATCGGGCTTCCTGGCCACTCAGGAAGCCGGGCGGCGGGTAATGATATGCCGCCTGGCTTCCTGATTGCCCGGGAAGCCTGTTCCATGTTGTTTAACCAGGCTCGATTGTGATTGGCCGGGAAACCGGCTTCCCAGCCAATCAGCATCAAACCGGCTTCCCGGCAAATCAGGAAGCCGGCCAGTGAGTAATGACCCGCATCCCGGCTTCCTGATTGGCCGGGAAGCTAGCACCATGCTGATTGGCTGTAAAGCCAGCTTCCCAGCCAATCAGGAAGGAGCCGGCTGTTCTGCTGGTTCGATGCTTATTAGCGGCGAAGACGACTTCCCAGCCAATCAGCATGGAGCCAGCTTCACAGCCAATCAGGAAGCTGGGAGGTGGGTCATTACTCGCCAACCGGCTTCCTGATTTCCCTGGAAGCCGGCTCCATGTTCCCCTACGGCACTGTTGGTCAGAGGAAATCTTCCTCTGACCGGAAGTTTGGTATCGGGGAAGGTATCGGAGCTTTTGGGCAAGTACGAGTACTCACCCAAATACTCTGTATCGGCACCAATAACGATGCTAGTATCGGTATCGGTGCATCCCTAATTATGATTGTTCCAAAAAACCCAAACTCTATTGCATCAGGAGCAAACAAAGTCCTTCTATAGCAGGAGACTCTGTAATTGTGCAATACAATGAGATACAGGATACAAGCACAATTAAAACATCCTCATAATTAGGGATGCACAGATACTTTTCGAGTACCAGTGCAGATACTTGGCATTTTCATGAGAACTACAAGGGTTGCAGCGGTTGCAGTTGGGACCTTGCCTCGGGCGCTCCATCACTGTCCTGAAATCATTAGTCTGTATTGTTTTAGAAAAACTGTCACATGACAATAAACCAAAATGTATCAGTACTCGTAATTGTAAGTACTCGGCAAGTATCAGTACTCGTACTCTCAAAACTGGTATCGGTGCATCCCTTTATTTATAGTTATAAAAACAAAATCGTACATTAAAACAGAGATGTACAAATCCCAGGAGTGCCGTGTGCTCCTTACAAATGACAGCTGCCTCCTAACTTCTGAATTTTTCTCTAGTCTAGTCTTGGAGCTCAAAAGTATCGGTACATGTACTCGTACTTGTACCGAGTACTGTACTTGGTATCTGTGCAACCCTACTCATAATAGTACATAAAGACTAACCAGACCCAGAACTCAGGGTCTACGTTAGAGGTGTCTCTCTAGTGGGACTCAAACCCCATTTGTTCCCCTGATGTATATACATCAAACAAAGTGGGTATAAAGGAGCGCCTTAGGAAACCTAACGTTACATAAAGAGGGACTTGAAGATGAAAGACGGTGTAAGAAAAGATAGAGATGCAGCATCGGAGCCCCCTTACCCTCCCCCCACCACACCCCGGTTACATACAGCATGGCTATATTACTCTGTGCGTTTTGCTTCTCCCCTCTGATTGATGGTCCTATGTGATTGACCTTGAGGTGGTTCCCTGAAATGATGTTTGGAGTTTCGCTGTAGCTAACCCAGGTCCATCCTGATGTCTTTCTAGTATATTTTTTGAGGATACTGTTTCTCCTTCCTGCAGAGTATGAACTGGAATCGCAGCCTTTGTTACCCTGTGAGACTGCTAGAGAGAAAGCCTTTCCTGCTGGAGGAGACTACATCCCGCAGTGCTCGGAGGAAGGACTATACAGGTAATGGAGCACCATAAGAAAACACTGGAGGATAATTTACTGACAGAGAAGAGAGCAGTTTATTGTCATACAGCCAATCAGAAGACAGCTTGTAGTATACTGGAGAAACTAATAAAATGGTTTGTGACTGCTAAGGATTATTTGTATAATACGGGTATATGTAGTAGACACACACAATACTGCAGCTCATTGAGATGACGTCAAGGTCTATAGTTCTTTTGGCTCAAGGTTTGGGAGGTCATATGGATAGCTCCTGTTTCCTTCTGTGTCCTGGGTATTTTTTTGAACATAACTTGTAAACATTTTATTACCAAGCCCCCTCTAAGCACAGACACAGTTGTGCTTCCTGCGTCAGCAACTTCCATGGCAGGTCTAAATTTGATTTTTTTTTAGTAAGAAACTTCTCAGTTATGGCATTTTTTGCCAGCAAGGATGGTGGTTCTATCATCACCATCAGGTGCCTTCTCAGAATGATCAGCAGGTGTGTTTCAGCATCCCAATCAGATTTGTCCCTGCATGGCAATTAGGAGTGTTCCAGCCAGGGCCGGCCTTAGGCCTTTAGGGGCCCTGTGTAAAAAAGATTTACAGCGCCCCTCAGAGACCACTCCCCTCAGTAACCACACCTCTCAGTAACCACACCCATTTCCCCAATACCCGCACCATTTAACTACCTCTCTAGATCTGAGCGGGCGACTTTAGACGTCCGCTCAGACACGCCCCTCGCGCGCGCGAGCGGGAAAGGGCCGATATTTAAAAACAGGCAGCGATGCCTGTTAACATACAAGCGATCCGCCGGCTATAGAGCGGATCGCTTGTATGGGGTAACGATCTGTACCCCCCCTCCGCGGTCCCCCCCCCCTTCCCTCCGGTCCCCTCTCCTCTGCAAAAATGTGGATGTGTTGTATTTTACATCACTTCCGCATTCTTGTGTCACTCTCTGGCTTCAGAAGCTAGAAAGAAGTTGATGGAGCAGATCTGTGCTTCATCAGCTTCTTCAGGGGGTCCTAGGTGACATTAGGGGGTGATTGCACCCATTACGCTGCACATTTTACATATCGCCGCGAACGTCACAGTGAGAGCAATCATTCTAGGGCCACCAATCACTGATAACACTAAACTGATGAGCGGTAAAAGCTTTTAAAGTGTCGCCTATGGCCAATTTTGGGTATGGTAGTTTTCTGCGACATGTTTGGTGTCTATTTACCCGACGTGACGCAATCTTTTATATTTTACCAAAAAACTAGTTAATAATAAATGTTTCCTAACATATTTTTTTTTTTAAAATGGTATAAAATGTATTTCAGTACAGCTTTGTATGACAGAATAAATGTCATTCAAAGTACTGCAGCGCTGAATACTGAAAAATGGCCGGGCCAGGAAAGGGGTATAAACACCTGGTCTTCAAGCGGTTAAAGACTCCCACTTTGTTAAGCCGCAAAGAAACATATTAAAAAGTATGATGAAAACAAAACTTTTATTTAAAGGTATTAAACTTGTCGGCACAATATACGTATTCTTATTAAATGAAACAACAGAAGGCAAACAATAAATGTCAAACTACAATAGAGTCTATACAAATAAAGTGTCAGGTTGTCATGCCGATCCCTTTCTTCAAGTAAGTGTATCTAGAAAAGTAAAAATAGAAAACAGAACACAAAACCCAAACTACATGTAAATGAATGAATTACCATTTGCCCGAATATACCAAAAATTTATTCAGGCACATAATAATTTGTTTGAGAATGCATGGCGGCCATGTTAGCCACCGTCGTGTTCTGCGAATGCGTGCCACCATCTTGGAGGCGGGGAGCATGACGTCACACGCCAATATACGAGCCGCCATCTTGGTGTATACCTAGATATACACCAAGATGGCAGCGCCCAATACGTGCGCCCTGCCTCCAGAACACGCCAATGGCTAAATCCAAAATATCATAAACATTTTTTTTTGTCTGATGAAACGAATGAAAACGTTTATAGTTTTCGTTCATTTCGTGAATGGGGAGGAGCCTCTATAGTGAGTGCTACTCCCCATTCAGAAATTCATGAATGAACAGGAAGTGATGTAAATCACATCCTGTTCATTCATAACTGGAGTGATCAGTCGATCACTCGAGCGTTTGTCCTTCACACACAGAGGATCAGTAAATATCAATGATATTTACCGATCCTCCGCTTGGCCACGCACACAGCCGATGGCATCCTGAAACTGACAGGATGACAGCGGCTTCACTCCTCACCGCTCGGCTATCCGACATGAGTGCGCTCCCTCCTGCCCCCCCCAGCTATCTCAGCTCGAACACCCCAAAGGCCGGCCCTGGTTCCAGCATCACTATGAGGTGTGTTCCATTATCATCACAATTTGTGTCCCAGCATTGAAATTTCGATTGTTCCAGTATTACCATAAAGCCCCTTTCACCCAGGCAACGTGCACAGATCGCCTCCTGAGTGGAGCACTATGGATCGGATGTCACCGCTGTGACATCCATGTCTGTTTGCATCAGATTATCCCTGATTTGGCATAGGGTTGCCACCTGTCCAGGATTCACCCAGACAGTCCGGGTTTTGAATGCTGTGTCCGGGTTTCATGGCAGCAGGAACCCAGACACAAGATGTCAGGCAGACAGGGGCAACCAAAACTAAGATAGAGGCTACTGGCCCCCCACTGAAAATAGTCTCAACTGTGATATTTACATATGAATTGGTGGTGCTATTTACATATGAATAAGCCAGGACTCATTCTCCCACAAAAATGTCCATGTGTTCGGGTAGAGTGTTCGGGTTTCGTTTGAAGAAAAGGTGACAACCCCTAATTTGGCACGACAGGTCCGGTGAAAAAGAACTCTGTTCCGTTTGTTTTTCCGGACCTGGCCGGAGTCAGGGGTAACCGGGTATAAACGTATGCCTGTCCCTTTGCACCAGGAAGCCAATAGCCTAGCATTGGAAACTGACAGGTGGACCCGATCGTACCGCCCGTGTGAAAGGGGCCTAAGGTGTGTTCCAGCATCACCATCAAGCGTGTTCCAGCAGCACTATCAGGTGTGTTTTAGGATCACCAAATAACAAAGGGAGCGGGCTAGGCTGGTGCAGTGCAGCAATGGCTGGAGGTAAAACTAAAGCATGCAGAAGGTAGGCTGTGCGTCCCAGTATGCATCCTAAGGCTTACATTTTTAGTTTTGGCTAATATAGGCGTTTTGTGCCGCCATTGACCTTCTCATATTGAACATTGTTTTACATTTTTTTTAACTTCTCGGTAAACATGAGCAGTTTACATAAAAGATCAATAATGACACCAACATTTAGTTGTAAGCCTGACTCTGATGTCCAAACCTCCCATTCAATGTCTCACCAACACTGTTACAATCATTACGTTGCAGGAACATCCAGTGCGACAGAAAAGGCACCACCTGCTGGTGTGTGAATTCTGATGGGAAGGAAGTATCGGGCAGCAGACAAATGACTTCTCCTCCTTCATGTGAGTAGACATCATGGTTGTTGTACACCTTATATCACATCTCCACCCTTCTGTTAAATGTGATATTACAGCTCATGAAATGATCAGCTTTATTGTGTCTATGAAGGTTCTCTTTTATCCAGGTCATGGTGCAGCAGGTAGCAGGTGCATGACAGCAATACCGCCCTCTGCAGACCTGGGACACTCTGGCTGACATCCCTCTCAGCTCCTAGCAACCAGTGATGTCACTGGTTGCCAGGAGATGGGCAGGATGTTGGGAAGAATATCCCAGGCTGCTAAGAGCCGGGTGTGTAGATGTGTATGGCCCTTACACATCTCTCTTATCAACCCGGGCTACAAAGGGGGCAGCGTTGTGCAGCAGAGCGGCCACTATACAATAAACATGCCCCCCCCGCATAACCCAAACAGATGCCTCCTGAGGCAACAGCATCAGACTGCCTCATTAAAAGGAAAGCCCTGTGTGTATGTAATCCTCAGTAATCCTCATCAATTAACTTCTCCTATTTGCTCCCTTTTGGTCTGTTAAATACACTTGGGATGCTCCAATACCGATACTAGCCCAAATTCTCCGATACCTTCCTTCCCCGATACAGGAACTTCCTGGTCAGAGGGAGTGACCGGCAGTGCCGCAAGGGAACATGGAGCCGGCATCCCGGCCAATCAGAAAGTCGGGCGGCGGGTAATGACTCGCCGCCCAGCTTCCTGTTTGGCTGGAAAGCCGGCTCCATGCTGCTTGGTTGGGAAGCCAGCTTCCCAGGCAATAAAGACACAGTGTGGCAGGAAATGACATGACGCCCGGCTTCCTGATTGCCCAGAAAGCCAGCTCTATGCTACCGGAAGTACTGGTATCGGTACTCAGTATCGGCGAGTACCGAAATATAAATATCAGTACTAGTACTGGATACCGTAAAAACAGTATTGGTCCATCCCTAAAATACGCCATTCAAAGTGTTTTGCTATATCTGTGCGATAAGTACCCAAAATACCATCTGATCCTGCCAAAAAATCTTGTGAGTTGATAACTTCCTTCGCTCTCTGCCCATGATAACTGTTGTCAGATACATTTGTGCCCAGCTATCTTTGTGAACTACAAAACACCTCCTATGTTACTGAGGAGAGGGAAGACAATGTGTTCTGTAGTCCTGTCCTAGGTTGACAATGCTGCTCCTCCATAGATACAGTACAGAAGTGAGCGTTGTCACCCAAGGACAGGAAGTGTGTTATTGACAAGATCACAAGCTGTAAATAAAGGCAAAAAAGCCTGAAAAAAAAGAAGACTAATGCAGTCACCACTGGTACATGTAATATATTGCATCTTTCTTCTCGGGTTCAGATACACTTTAAAGCGTCCCATGTTGTTTTCTTACCTTCCTCGGTCTGGTCACATGTGTAATTAGAGACCAAAGCTTGGCTGCCAGCATACAATTATTTCCCCACAACAAATCTATATGGTGTTATTACACATGGCCACACAGACAGAGGTCTCTTTATAATTTGGATATTGTGGATTGGACTACTTTATACCTTGATATACACCAGGGGTGGGCAACATTGGATCTCCAGCTGTTGTGGAACTACAAGTCCCACAAAGCATTGCAAGACTCTGACAGCCGCAGGCATGACTCCGAGAGGCAGATGCATGGGATTTGTAGTTTCACTACAGCTGGAGTGCCGAGGTTACCTACCCCTGATATACACCATTGTATAATATATTGATGTTTTATGAATAAAGTACAATGATGATAATAAAAGCTTGCAGATAATGGAGCTAGCAGGTGTTTTAACTCCTCTCTCTGAACGGCTTAATAACACCTGCTAGCTCCAATCATGCGAATACAATCAACACCTGAGCTCCATGTGGTCTCCATGAGCAACTTTTTCCATATTTATTCCCAGATCATTATTGTTCAAGTCATTCTGAATTGAGAAAGCTGGTCGGATGACCACCGGCAAAGTCCAGTTGCCTTGACTTATTTCTTACAGTGATACCAGCAGGAAGTGATTATGTTGTTAATGGCTTTTTATGATGCGGGTAATACTGATTGGATGTTCATACCATGTTCTTCTTTCTGTAGGCTTATCCTTTTGCCAGCTTAGAAAGCAGCAGGTCTTGGTCAGCGGATATATAAACAGCAGCTCGACTTCCCATATCCCAGAATGTAAAAACTCTGGGGAATACCATGACGTGCAATGTGACCGGCAGCTCGGAGAGTGCTGGTGTGTGGACAACGAGGGGATGGAGATCTACGGAACACGACAGATGGGCCAACCTGGGCAGTGTGAGAGTTTTACTTTTATATGTATGGCATGAAATATACGGAACTTCTTTAGGACCTCGCTAGTACATTACACTGAACAGGAAACTCCAGATGGAAATCAGACGATTGAAACACATAAATAGGAACTGATTTACATGCCAAAATTTGCATAGCACAATCCGTTGTCATCTATCCGCACCTTCTGCTTTATCTGGTGCTTGAGGTTCCAAGTTCAATAACAGATTGTACCATATATTGCCAAACGTCGGTGGACACCTGACCATCTCACCTATATAAGCTTACTGGACATCCCATTCTAAAACCGTGCACATTAATATGGAGTTGGCCCTCTGTGGTTATAACAGCTTCCACTCTTCTAGGAAGGCTGTACACAAGATTTTGGAGGGTGTCTGTGGGAATTTGTGCTGATTCAGCCAATAGAGCATCTGTGAGGTTGGGTACTTATGCTGCATGAGAAGACCAGGCTCACAGTTGGTGTTCCAAAAAAAATCCCAAAGGTGTTCAGTAGGGTTGAGGTCAGGGCTCTGTGCAGGACACTTGGGCTCCTCCGCACCATACTAGCCAAGCCATGTCTTTATGGAGCTGGCTTTGTGCACAGGGACACAGTCATGATGGAACAGAAAATGGCCTTCACCAAACTGTTACCACAAGTAGGGATGCACCGATATCGATACTAATATCGGTGTTGATACCAAGTATTTGGGCGAGTACTCGTACTCACCCAAATGCTCCAATACTTACCTCCGATACCGGAACTTCCTGTCGGAGGGAGATATCCCTCTGACCACAAGTGCCGAGGGAGCATGGAGCTGGTTTCCTTTACAATCAGGAAGCCGGGCAGTGGGTCATGGCGTGCTGCCCGGCTTCCTGATTGGCTAGGAAGCCAGCTTCACTTGGTGGTAAGCAGCCTGGTATCCTAACCAATCATGGAACCCCTTTTGTCAGCAGTGTGTCCTGTAGTCATGTTAGGGGCGATGGATGTCACTGAAGGAGTCACTGTTGAGATGATAGATTGAGTTTTGTAAACAACTGGCTTCTCTCAGCACAGATGAGAGCGATACAATGCTTCATATTTGAATCGAAGACTACTGCGCCACCTGCTGGATGGAGAGAAATGACACAATACTTTCTATGCAATGTGTCATTTTTACCAGAATATATAAGAGAAAAAGGAAATATTGTTTACGATTATATTGTTTTTAGTTCTGAACATAGTAAATGAATAAAGAATCTATGTAGGTAAACCACAAAACTCATCTCTTTACTCTTGGACCGCAAGGCCATTTGAAGTCTCTAGGTGCCTATAGATAAATGTTTGAATTTTGCATGTTTCTACAGGTCCAAAGAGATGTGCCGTAAGAGATCGGAGAATTCTGCACGACGTTGGGGAGAAGGTTCCCCCTCATTGCTCTGAGGATGGCGGCTTCCAACCTGTCCAGTGTAAACTCGTCAATACAACAGACCAGATGGTGGTTGACCTTGTGACAACGTTCAGCAGGTAAATGCAAATATACATACAGGGGGGAATTTATCAAAACTGGAGCAGATGTGCATGGCAACCAATCAGCTTCTCTCTTTCATTTTCAAATCTTACCTGAGCAAACTGTATACATATAGGAGCTCTTTAACCTTCCAAATGATTTGTATTCCTGTCCATCCAGAGATTTGCACTGTTCTGTCACATAGCACAGACCTGTCAGGCCGGGCACAAGACCTAATTTTTCCTTGCTGCAGTCAAGTAACAGTTACAGGTCTTGCTCCTCCCTCAGCCTATGATTGGACAGTGACAAGAGAAGCAGCACACTAACGAGTTGATCTCTGTCTGCTCCACCTTACAGCATTCTTTTTGCACTCCAGTACAACTCATTGGCTTCTTGTGTTGGTTCTCCTTCCCCCATTCTGAGCTCTGTTGTACAGTGGCTGCAAGAGGCTTATACCAGGTCAAAATCAGGTGCTTAAACACATTTTTATGATTATTATTATTATTACATTTTATTATTACATTTGATTAAAAATAATAATAATAATACAATTATAACTATAATAAAATGTAATAATAAAATGTAATGATAATAATAATAGTATTAATAATACAATTTAATAATACAATGTAATAATAATAATAAAATGTATTATTATTATTATTAAATACAGACCTGCACTATTTGTATATTTTATATCTGTTTGGATTTCAAATTTCGAAGAGCTCATGAGAGCCATCTAGCCCATCCCTAATCCCTAGTTGTATGGTCACCAATACAAACAGAGGGGCCATTCTTCCTGATACAGACACAGGCAGGAATAAGACAGACCCTACCTAGACAGAGGGTCTAACCCTTCTTAGCCCCAGCCAGCATACCAAAAACATTCTGTCTAGAGATCTGCTTCTGCACTATAGACACATCAACTTCCTTAAACTGAAGGAAGGGAAGTGCTTAGTGGGAGTAAATTGGTGAGTCACATGAGCTGAAAATAAACTTTCTGGGGGGTAAAGTCATTTGTAAATTGGACCTTTCCCTTTACAAATCTGCATGAATACATTTTTAATGTCATAATATACGACAACATTGTAATTTTTCGGAAAAGCTGTATCTTTCCTCATTAGAAATCCATCCTTGACCTCCAATTCAGTGACTTTGCCTATGCTGAGATGATGTCATCAGTCTGTTGCAGGTAGGAGGAAGCATTTCCTCGGTCTACTCTCCCCCAGTGATCAGTCTGTTGCAGGCAGGAGGAAGTATTTCCTCAATCTCCCTTCTCTCCCAGTGATCAGTCTACTGTAGGCAGGAGGAAGCATTTCCTCAGTCCCCCCTCCCCCAGTGATCAGTCTGCTGCAGGCAGGAGGAAGCATTTCATCAGTCCCCCCTCCCCAGTGATCAGTCTGCTGCAGGCAGGATGAAGCATTTCCTCAATCTCCCTTCTCCCCCAGTAATCAGTAATCTTTTTTAACACAAATTGGAATTTTTTGTAAATGCTGCAGATATTTCTCACTATATTTGTCTGCACCAGGATAGGCGCCCCTTGTTTGTGTTTTTTCCCTATTTCTCACTACTGTTTTTACTATTTATTTTATAAACTTACAAGAACAATGAAACAAGCGGCCGAGATGGAAACATGTGAGATTTATGTACCGGTGTAAATCCCCCTCTGAACATCTGTTCTTCCAGGAGACTTTGGGCCAGTCAGATAAGAGCTCGGCGGCTCAGGGTACTGATCTCTATCGTTCTCCTTTTCCTCTCCTAGGTCTCCAGATTCCTTCAAGTCGTTCAGCTCCCTGCGGGAATCCTTCCCAGAGATTTCCGGATACTGTTACTGCGCCGATCAGCTTGGCCGCGAGCTGGCGGGAACCGGTAAGTGCTGCCAGGTTCTAGGAAACCTTGTGTTGTCCTCGGGGGACACCAAGAATCTTCTCAGCCAACCTTCGCCGAGTCTATTTTCCATTTACTGTGAAGCTTTCAGGTTTTGTTACTAAAAGGTTTTTTTTAATGCATTTTATTAAAGCAAACTTGTGCCGACAGGAATACAGAGGAATATGCTAATGCTAAATGCTAATTGCCGGCTTCCATTGGCGTTGAGACACACACCAGCCATGTGTACACGCTTATATTTTCTTTGTTCAACCTAAACAATGAAAATATAACAGATTCCTCCCTCCGCACTGAACAGCGTAGATGGATGAATCTCCCCGCTATTTCCATTGTATTCCGACAGCGGCCACCGATGGTAAACCCGAACATCATGTGATTTCAGGATGTATACAATAAATGAATCCCATCTGTGAAATGTACTTATCTATTCCCGTAGGGGTAGAGCTCCTGCTCGATGAAATCTATGACACGGTCTTCTCTACACTCACCCGTCCGCGTACATTCACCGAAACCGCCATCTATCGTATCCTACAAAGGCGTTTTCTGGGAGTACAGCTCATCACATCGGGCAAGTTCAGATGTAAGTTCTCAAATATAACTAATAAGACTGTTATTTGGGGTTTGGGGGGAGGGGGGAATTTATAATGCATTCAAAATCAGGAGTTATGGATCTCTCAATCTCTCACTGTCATACAGCACATGCCTTTTTGTGCAGTGTCAGAAAGCATGCATTCACACCATAAACAAACAAAACGCAGTATAGAAACCTATTGAAAGCAGGCCATCCATTTAGCCTAATTGAAACCATGTGACTTTAGCCAGCCAATTGTGATCCAGATTTTAGAATCAAACACAAAAAAAGCATATGTTGATAATATTCTTCTTCTTATTATCATTATACAGGATTTATATAACGCCAACAGTTTGCGCAGCGCTTTACAATATAATGTAAGACATTACAATCACAATACAATTCAAGACAAGATGGTAAGGAGGGCCCTGGCCGAAAGGGGTTTACAAACTAAAAATGCCTTTTTAATGTAACTCGCAGAGCCCAGAGGGTCCTCATGTTTGGCAGATGGGTTTGATGTAAACACAGAAGGGAAAGTGAACTGTCTACATGAATGAATGGGCAGAGAGCTTGCCTATGGTGGTGTCCTGCAGCATTGATAGGTATCCTCTGAGGGGGATATACTATCAGCAGACACAGTCACTTTACCTTGAAAGGACCCCACTAGAAAGATAGGGACACGTGAGATGACAACTGTCCAAGGTAGGATTCCTTTCACTATAGGAAGATAGCTCACTTCCTGTCAGGTCACCAAGAACCACTGGGGATACAGACAGTAACAAAAACCTTGTGAATGTTCCTGGTCTTCTGCACCGGGATACCAAAGGTGGAAGGTGAAGGTGATGGATAACAACAGTCTTTTACTGTTTTTTAAGTTTTCACAAATGTCCATAATTACATAAACCAGAATTGCTTTCACTGGGGCTATTGGTCTTCTTCTTCACAGGTCCTTCAACATGTGAGATCCAGAGGTTCACTGCATCCCAGATGGGAGATGTATATGTGCCAACATGTGATGAAGATGGTGATTTTGTGCCTGCTCAGTGCCAGGATGGTGGACAGTGTTGGTGTGTGGACCTCACAGGACGGGAGATCTATGGAACTCGTGTTGTGGGAAAGCCTCCACAATGTGGTACGGAATACAACCATAATAAAATGTGTACTTTTATCATTTCATTGTTAAAGAGAACCAGTCAGAGGTGGTCATTTGTGAAAGTCTGAATGTCCACCTTTAAGATGATGATATATAATGTATATTAACAGTGCAGCCTTACTTCACAGGGATAGATGAGTGTGCTGTTACTTTGTTGTATTCTCCCCCAGTCAGAGCACAAATATAAGCCCAGTGTCAGGCTGTGAGGCTGACCTGTCTTCTGTCTGAGCTCAGAGTTGACAACTAGGTTTTGGATTAATTTCCTACTCAGAGCCCAGATTTCCTCTTACAACCCAATACAACCCCAAATCATTATAGCGGGATAATTGGTGTTCCCCCACATTGGCGTCTGTATTCTTGTGCCACTACTGACCTCTTTCTCTGAAAATACTAGTCCCCCGGTGTCATGGTAATCCAGTTACTTCTATGCTTTATCCATTGCTGTCCCTGAACAAGTGCTCAGATCAGCATGTAGCTGATCAGTAGTCAGAGACAACCTGACAAGTACCATTTTCAGAAGGAGGCCATCAACAGAAGCTCCTTTAAGGGTCAGGGATGGAGCTGAGGAACATAGGACATAAATACTTATTTCCTATGCTCCTTAGCTCCATCTAGTGACCGTAATGCAGCATTAGACTACATTCCACACAAAAAGATAAAATACTAAGGGATTTATTCACAAGGGAGCTGAAGGATCCAGCCATAGCTTCGGCTGATCCTTTGGCTTGCTTCGGCCACCTGAACCCTTCGTAGTAGTATGCGCGTATTCTGCGCGATGCCGCTAGTAATGCACATTCGCGAAAACTTACACGTACGCGCGCAAGACTGTGCACGCGCAAGTAACGTGCACACGCATGTCCTTGGCGCCAGGCGGGCTATTTAAAGATGGCCCCTGCATCTGCACTTTGCTGAGAGATCTTCAGCTGTACTCTGCATCTGTGTTTCTGCTCCTGATACCTGTTTGACCCAGCTTGATTCTTGACTCTGCCTGCTTGCTGCCTGCCTTGTGACCTCGGTTGGTCCCTGACCATTCTTCTGCCTCCTGATCCAGTACCATTGTGCTCGCTAGTGTATGACCCGGCCTGTTCCTGACTCTGCTTCTGTCACCTGCTTTTGTACCACGTTGACTGCACGTTACCGATCTGGCTTGTGCCTGACTACACTTCAGTCTTTCACACCAGTGTCGTCTGATCTGCCATCTTCCACCAGCTGTCTCTGGCGTCCTGTTGTCAGCATCAGCACATCCAGTGTGTCCAACAGTCATACTAGCCACAGGCACTCGTGCCCCTCTCTGTCTGTACAACTACTGTTCCATCTCCAGTGGGGCTCAGACGAGAGCAGCAAGGGAAGGCCTTCGTCGTCACTTCAGGCTCATACCAAGGTACGTGACAGAAAGGCTGCTGTACGGGCTATTCACAGCAGCCCGTACAGCAGCCGAATGCAGCTGAGCCAAAGGCATATGCTTCGGCTCGACTGAGCCGAAGTGACAGCCGACCTTTCTCCACGCAAATGACAGCCGGGCGGAGCCAGCCGAGATTTAATAGCTCGCTCTGCCCAGTTGTAATGTCAGATCAGCGACCTCAAATGACCTGGGGATGCTGATCTGTCATTAAACAGTAACAACTGGGCGGAGCCGGCTGTGACATCACGGCCGGCTCTGCCCAGTTGTTATTTACTGGCCCGAGACCTTCTAGAAGATTCTAAGGGGGTGGCAAATAGGAAACAGTTGGGCGCAGCTAGCGGTGATGTCAAGCTGAAGTGAATAGCCGAACAGCGTTCGGCTCACTTAACTTCGGCTCAGTTATTCACTACAGTAGAAAAATTACTGTTGAAATCTAATTGCTGCCATGGTCAACACTACAGTTCACCATTCTCTAATTTTTACAAATCAGACCTGTTAAGTGAGTGATAAATCCAGTCTGTAACGTATTTTCTTTTTATTAGCATCTACAGACAACTACCAGGACTGCCGTGTAAAAAGGAGACAAGCTCTGTCTACTCTATTCTATGGACCAACCGGCCACTTTGCACAACAAAGTTTGTTTTTGACACAAGAGGAGGAAGCGGGAACCAAGATAAGCTTTAATTTTTGCCCATCCTACCTAGTGGAAACCTTCTCAGATTCAGGACTAGAGTTTGAACTGGCGAAAGGTCTGGGGCTTTCTCTGAAGAGCTTCATGGTTGAAATGATTACGGGGCTTTTCCAATCCAAGGAGCAGATACAGCTTGCTCTGCAATTCACCTCTAACCCTATAAGATTTCAACAGAATCTGTTTGGTGGCAAATATCTGAAGAACTTGGGCTCCTTCAACTTTACAGGAGCCATTGGCATGAAAAACAAATTCAGCTTTAGTGATTTTTTCCAGCAGATTGGCTTGACGGGAATGTACAGCGGAGGGAACTTTAAAGAGCTTGCCAAGTTATTTTCTTCTGAAGAGGATTCCTATTTGAGTCGTGACTCCAACATTTCAAAACCATTTTTTGACCTTAACCAACCTATCCTGGCTAGTTTTGGACGCACTGTAAATTTGCATGAAAACCAGAAACGAGTTGGGTCCTTTTCATCCATTATAGGACTTAAAGAGTTTTCAGTCTTACTTCGAGACATCATTTCCATGCCACCAAAAGTTGCTGAGGATGTTTTTGAGGCCGTGAAGATAATTGTGGAGTCTAAAGACTGTAGAAAAGGCAAGGAGGCTTATGTTCCAACTTGTACAAAAGAGGGCAGATATGAAGAAATTCAGTGTGGCCAGTCTGAGTGTTGGTGTGTAGATGATAAAGGACGGGAAGTTCCAGGGTCGAGGACATCGGACAAGAAACCAAAATGTCCCTCAAAGTGTGTGAAGGAACGAGAGAGTCAAATACTCTTAAGGAAAAGTCAGCCTGCTGGATCTGAATTGTTCATTCCAGCCTGTGATCAGAACGGCAAGTATAGAACAGTGCAATGTGCCGGCAAATACTGCTTTTGTGTCGATTTAGAAGGCAGGACTATTCAAGGAACTCAGAAACTGTCTGGAGAAAATATTCAATGTAAGTTTCAAGATTTAGTTTCTTTGTATATTGTAAAGATACTTAAATTGTAACCAGCTCTATACATTTAAGGAGCATGGAGCCTTACCAGAGCATTTTAAAGACGTGCGGTCTTCAATTGGGCTGTAACACTTGTGTCATGGGCATAACATTATGGTAACTGGATTATGGCAATTGGTTAACCCATAAGGGTTCAAAAGCCAGATAATTCGCTAGCATTATTTGTTTTCAAGAATGTTCAGCACGTTTTCATGATTTGGTACCACTAGGCAATCCATGACCTAAAGAACATAAAAGACAGCAAAATAAATACTTCATGATCAGTTAAACAAAATTATACTTATATTGGACTTTGAACCTGACTTACCAGTCACTTTTATGCCTTCGGTTCTCCTGCCACTCCTTCTGCAGTCACTTCTCTTCTTCCATGTGGTCGTCTTGTTCAAATTGCCATAAGAAGTCAGCTATCTCTTCCTGGTTCATCTAGTTGTCATGTAATGACACAGCAACAGATCTCATGCATACATAAGATAAGATCTTTCCCTGTCCAATTTTATTTACATACAGAAGTGCATACCTGCTATGTTTTGACTCTGGAACAAAGCCTCCTGAGTATTGTCACAATGACTAACCAGGAGGCTACGGGAAAGATTCACTTACATCCCTGGCACCTAGGCTAAGACCCTGGAGGTCAGGGAAGATGAGAGTACTTTACACCTTCTGAAGTATTTGTGCTTGAGTTTTTAAACAAGCAATTGGGAATTATGTAGATGAGAGAAAGTGTAATCTTGCTGAAAGGTCCACCATAACTGGTTTTATCGTATACTCATTTATATGGATCTATACGGATATATATATATACAACACCTACAAGATCATAAAGTGTAGAGTTAAAATGCATAGAGAGATTTGAGTTTAAAAGCTGGACATTTGGGAACTATTATTAAGCTCTCACAAGCAGGGCCCTCCTGCCTCCTGTACTGAAATTGTATTGTTAACTGTACTGTCTCCCTTAATTTTGTAAAGCGCTGCACAAACTGTTATATAAATCCTGTATAATAATAATTATTATAGTGAACATATATAACTTTGTCTTTCTTTTCCAGGCCCGAGTTATTGTCAGTTGACCGCCAGCAATGCCTTTATTCAAGCAGCAAGCAGCCTGCTATCTGGTTCTTCAGAACTTCCTGAGCTTTCCCGAGTTTACTTCCCCCAGTGTACCCTTAGTGGTGAATGGAGCACTGTGCAGTGCAGTGGGCCCACCGAACAAGCCTTTGAGTTTTATGAGAGATGGACAAGACTAAATGCCAACATCTCTTTTCTTGAAACTCTCAGCATACTGCTCAAATATAAAGAGTCGACTTCACAGAGTTTTTCTAACTTTCTACAAAAACTCTATGACCAAGGACATCAGAATGTCTTCCCTGTGCTCTCAAAGTACGTTCGTTTTAGTGATCTTCCAGAAGACATTCTGTCTGGGAATATAACAACAGTGTCATCAGAAAACCTACTGCTCAACCCGTATATTTTTTGGAGATTGTTAGCAGGTAGTTTGAGTACCTATCCAGGTCCATACAGTGATTTCTCCTCACCCCTTGGCCACATTGAGCAGCGTAGCTGTTGGTGTGTTGATCTTGATGGACAGAAAATTCCTGGAATGGAAATTGTGTCAAAGAAGGTTCCAAAATGTAAGTTGGAGATTTTTCTTTATTGTATGCCAGCTGCATTACAACCCAGTATAAACAAAAATATAATACTTGTATTCTTTGGTGCAGAATATCATAAAGAAAAAAATGTATACAACATTATAGATTGTAGTTAAAAAGCCTTAAAACAATTCAAGGAACTCATAATATAAGGCAATTTTTGTATATGATCGTACATTGAAATTTGATAGTCATAACCTTGGAATATGACTTCTGCTACTGCTATTTGTAGGAGTAGAGTAACTAAGTAGTGCCAACTTTAGGTGGTAAATGTGGGGTATGGCAATAGAAAATGTTAGGACAACATCCTAAGAGGCCAAATGTGACCTTTCATCACAGGTGATGGTTTTGTCATTTTAAAGTTGTGGTGGGGTTTAGGGTTCACATCGGTTCCTGCCCTCAATGAGCTTACCATCTATGGTCCCTATCTCACATACACATACTAGGGCCAAATTACACATGAGCCAATTAACCTACCAGCATGGGTTTTGCACATGCACCGTGTCCTGGCTGGATTTCAAACCATTGAACCCAATGCTTCAAGGCAGAAAAACTAACCGCTAAGCCATTGTGCTGCCTTGAAATGTGGTGCTAGCATTCCAGCATGAACTCCTCTACAACCTCCCAGCCTGAGCTCCATTGCTTACCTGTCTATGATATGAGTTTTGTGTTTCTGCAGGTCCCGGAACTTGTGAACTGGCCAGAATGAAGTCCCAGCAGTTCGTGGAGGAGGCAAATAACATAATTGCTGCTTCCAATGTTACCCATCTTCCCCTGGGGCACAGCTTCTTACTGGCAAATGGAATACGACTGTCAGAGAGGGATCTGATGTATACAGAGGAACAGAAATCTGGGATTGCGCTTTCTGAAAGTTTCTTGGGGAAGGACATGTACGCCATACAGCTGGCGGCATACTCAAGTATGTATAGGGTCATATTAGTATTATTTTTATTAAGGTATATGGTGCCCACTTCCTCCACAGTGTTAGGGCATATCAGGGATATAATATCCCTCATTCCTTATTATTGAGAGGATGTCACTTCCTTTGCTCCCGAGGAAGTCCTCAAGAAGTGAATGGTGGTGGTGGAGGGGGGGTTGCCTGTTTGTACTTTTATAAAGAGCAAAATAGAAAACCAGTTGAAGCCCAGCTTGTCTGTAACAGTCAGAGAACCAAAGGTGGGATGGTATGAAACTGTTTGTGGCACACATAGATTGATGATCTGTATTGTAACTCAGCCTGTTTTACCTATCATGCAGCTTTGAAGTTCTTCCAGGAAAGCCGATTTGGTAGCACAGAGACTGTGCGGCTGTCTTATGCCCCATATATGCCTCAGTGTGATGGAATTGGAAATTGGAACCCTGTTCAGTTTTATCAAGGAACTGGTGAGAAGATGCTGACTGTTCTCTAGGCTTGTGTCTAAACTATTGAAGATGCCTGGTGGAAAAGGAGGAGGAGAACATGAAGAAAGCGAGGGAAGGAAAGGAGGGGAACAGGGGCAAGGGGGATTTCAACATTAGTCACCTGACAGTGCCCATTCATAATCACAAATGTTGGTACCATAACAGACACTGGGAAGCCAATGCAGGAGTACAGATCCCTTGGGCCCATGTTAGCAAAGTGAGAGCCTTTTGTGCCAGGGACAGAATTTGCTTCTGCTGGGCCTTAGGCGCATCTTCCTCCCTTTCCTCTGAATGATGCCTGACTTGGGTCTCCGCATCATCCTTGTTAAAAATATACACCCCTCCACACAGCCAAGTGCCATTATGGGATGGTAGCATTCATGAGATCTTTGTAGAACTCAGTGAGCTTAGTGAAGTATGAGAGTTATACTTTACAAAATTGACTATGGTGCCAGCTGTAGATGTGCTTACGAGGGCTCTGGTATGAAGACCAAGATTAAAGTAGCTTTATCATATGTACTGTATCTATTGCTCACTCATGTTATCATGTCCTTTGAATTTCAATAGACAATAATGCCCTCTAAAAATGCATATTTACATTGGATAGTTCCTACACCCACTGGCTTCCTATATGTTTCAGAAACTCAATGACTATGTACACTGTATGCTTGAGCTCATGGCTCTGCCCATTCTATGGCCATTGGAAGCCAGGGAAATGGCATCCTATCCTTCCTGCTGCATTCAGCACAATGTCAAATAAATAAATAAATAAATAGAGGATCCATTAGCAGTAGGGTGACATATCTTGTAAAGGCCAACGTAGGCACAGAGATCTTACCGCCTGTGAAATATAAGAACCCAGCATGTGATTCCAACCATCTACGTCCAAAACTGAATTTCTTGTGGAAGGAAGGAGGTTTTGCAATGTTCAGCTTGGAAAGCTGTGGCTTAGCATTTGCGCATACAGCCCTTTATCTTCCACCTGGGAGGGTCATTTGGTATATCAATAGAATGGCAGCATTTAATAGGGTGCTCACAGCCTCCAATCAGAGAATGAAGATGATAGAAAATCATGGCTAATAGATTTTGTTTCCCCAGGTCACTATTGGTGTGTGGATAATGAAGGAAGCTACCTTGATGGGACCCTGGCATCACGGACTACTGGCCCCCCACAGTGTAAGTCTCTTAGTCTAGCGAACTCATGTATTTTCGACTATAGTATTATGTGGAGGAATAAAGTGACAGCAAAACCCACTTGAAACAGACCTATAAGCAGAAAGCAAAGCCATCCTAACATTCATGGCTCTCCAGTTACTATTGTGGAATATTGTGGCTTCTGCTGAGTCTTCCGTATCCAGCAAGAGTGGCCATTGCCATTTGAAATCAGCATCATTCATGGGGTCATTGCCCATTTAGATTGCCCAGTTAAATTTTAACATCAGCTTTATGTGTTTCCTCTATTTTTCTAATTTGTAATAACCTGGTGTTAACTACACTTTTAAAGGACACCTGTACTCAGAAAGCATGGGGGTTGATACTGCTATCCACCTCTTCTTAAAATAGTTACCTGGCTGCCAAAATCACCTTTCCGGAAATATAGACTTGTTTTAGGCCAGTGACTCAGAATGTATTGAATCCAACCAGCTTGGCCAGAACAGCAAGATCAAATATAATGTAGGTCAGAAGGGGTCAACTGCACCAGTGGCGTCACAAGAGGGTCGCGGGGGGTGCGGCCCGCACCCGGGTGACACCATTGGAGGAGTGACACCAAAATGACTGACAGTCATTTTGGTGTCACCCCCTCTAAAAAGTCGGCACTCGGTTATGGACCGAGAGCCTGACAGTGTCAGGAGAGAGGCGGCATACCACATCCCGTCAGGTGAACGTCCCCTCCTCTCTCTGCCGACGTCCATCACCAAGATGGCCGCCGGCAGGTGTCAATTAGACAGCCGCACATGCGCAATGATGTAATCACGCATTCCCGTGGTGGCGTCATGGTGGGCTGTCACCCGGTCTCCGCATCCAGCCTCGGGACGCCCCTGAACTGCACGTCAAAAAGAAGTCAACTTCAGGTCAAATATACCTTTTAATAATTTGTAAATGGTCTCAGAAGTGTCTCAAACTGATGTCAAATGCAAGCTGAATGTACCTAAAAGCAAGCTGCATTTGTTCATTGACACAAGCCCTAGGCAGGTAGAATAAGCGCTTGTGCACACAGTCATTGTTGGCATGTGTTTGATGTGCATTGAAATACATGTCGAATGCAGGTCAGTAGATTCAGTAGATTCCCATTTACCTTAGTAGTTTAGGGATTACAGATCTGAGGGTGCGTTTGTCCTCCTTTGCGTTGCATTTCTCTGATCTCATCATGTCCTACTGGTGTTGTTGTTGCATTGCAGGCAAAGCAGGTCAAACACAACCTTTTACTTTCAAACAAATGTATTTAAGGTGTGCTTTGTTCAAATGTAAAAGCCAGCATTTGACAGCAACCCACAGTGCTGGGTAACAGTGCTTTGTATAATGTTCGCTTTGTAATTACACCTCCTGGTAACTGCAAAGTTCATTACCCAAAGGGAATGGTGGGTACAACAAAGCTCTATGAATAAAATAATAAGCTTAGCAGTAATATGTCATCCAGAAATCTTTCTGTTCAGTAAATGGTTTAATGGTTGCGAATACAAAGTTATATATGTAAACCTGCTTTCTCTGTAGGCCAAACATCATGTCAACGAGCTCAAACAAAAGCATTGATCTCCAGTTGGCTGCCAAGGAAATCTGCTGCTGTTGGTACTGACCCATCTGAAGGATTTATACCAAAGTGCACAGAGGTAACCTAATGCATAATGATTCTCATACAAAGTCTGATCAGATTAGAATTTTCTCCTCCCTCAGTTCAGAGTGGAAGCATGAGTGACTGGACATGCACGTTTCAAGGTTGCAATGTCATGCCTCTACTTGTATATCAAATGCACTTCAAAAATATTATTCATGGGACCAAATTGTAACCAACTGCCAGCTAACCTGAATAGGCATTAAGGCCCGGTTCACACCTGAGCGTTTTACCGCGCGTAGGTGAAAACCCATGTTTACCTATGGGCATGGTTCTCACCTGCGCGTTTTACCGCGTGTACGATCGCGCGGTAAAACGCCATACACCCAAAGAAGTACAGGAGCTTCTTTGGGGCGTATATTAACGCGCGTATCCCGCTGTATCCATCAGGATACAGCCGGATACCCCCTCGAAAACTCGCGTTTTCCACGCGTTTCGTTTACCGCAAATCGCGGTGAAACGCGCGGCAAACGCGAGTTTCCAATACGCTAAGGTGTGAACCCAGCGTAAAGGAGAACTATGGAGTTAAGGCTTTTTCCCATAGTTCTCCTTAGGGTAACGGTAGGACACAAACTCCCGTCACCCTCCTGTCACACTAGGCTCAGTATACCGCGAGCTGAAGGGGGAATCCAGCCCCTCCCCTGTCACGGCAGAGAGCCGTGACAGGATCGAGAGGTGAGCGAACACCGGTATATGTTCGCTCACCTCCCGATCTACTGAGCCGACCTGTGACAGTCTCATTGTCACAGGTCGGCTAGAACTATGAGGTGAGTGAAAAGCACTCACCTCATAGTTCTCCTTTAAGCCCTATAGTTAGTTCCTGCATATGCCGCTGAAAACTAAATAACAACCATGGAAGCTGCGGAAAAATTCGGTTCAGATATTTCGTTATCTCGGGATTCAGATCCGAAATTCAATTCAGTTCGGGTTTCAGATTCGGACAAAGTCCGAATTTTTGTTAGTTTCGGATGAGTTTATGAATATTCGTTGCGAATACCACAGAAAACCATATACAGATATTAATACCGATAGCTGAATCTCCTAGACCCAAATGGCATTCAGGATCTGAATTTCCGAATTGCATTCGGGTGCTCCCGAATGCCAATTGGGTCTGGGAGTCTCAGCTTTAATAATATATGTATATGGCTCCCAGACCGGAATGGCATGCAATTCAGAAGTTCCGATCCCAAATGCCATTGGGGTCTGGGAGTCCTATACATATATTATTAAAGCTGAGACTCCCAGACCCGATTGGCATTCGGGAGCTCCCGAATGCAATTCGGAAATTCAGATCCTGAATACCATTCGGTCTAGGAGATTTACCTTTAGTATTGTATATACTGTATATGGCTCCCATGTTGCCGTAACGGAAATTCGTATTAAGACCCATTCGGATGCATTAAACAGAAAAACACATCTGATTGGCCAGAAAAGTCACATGTCCGATTCAGGGCGGGATCCGAAATTCAGAAACAGAAATTCGGATTCAGACACATTCGGATGCATTGGGATTCGGAAATTCAGATGTGTCCGAATGTCCAAATTTCTGAAAATCCGTCTGAATTTTGATTCTGAACGAAACGAATCGCACATGTTTACTAGATAAGTAACCTATAAAGAGTGCAGCAGAGGCTCAGTATACAGTGACATTTCTGGCAGGTATTTTTTGCACTTTTTGAATAAATTTAATGAAATGCTTATAATGGTATACAGTATGTAACAGACAAAAAGGAACAACACTGCAATAACATAAACTACTCACCCGGTAATTACTTAGAGATGTAGCAATGAGGGAAAATAGAGCACAATAATACAGATGAATTAATTTGTTGCAGTGCCTGGATCCTGATCCCGCGAAACTGCAGCAGACACATAGTAGTTCTTAAGCCTTGGACACCTGTTATGATCTTTTTTAGATAATTTTATAGTTCAACATAAAAGCACATGTGAAATGTCCACATATAAGGAGAAAATCACTGTATATGGGCAAAGTCTACAATATCACTCAATATGGCAGCAGCTCTCATTGGTGTAGTGCAGGTGTCGCTGTTGAAATCCCCAGCTACTTTTCTTTTTTGATAATTTTACATTGATCTTAGTGGCTGCCATTTTTGCTTTATAGCAGCAGACCTGGGATACTTCAAGGGGTTTCCCTGCTCATCAGAGGAGGCTTCACATATGGCTCCTGAAGTTTACTTGGTCGTACCACGGCATGTCCTCATATATCATTGAAACAGCGCCGGGGCACCCATACAAGTGAAGCCAATAGAACTGCGTTCTGCTGCTCCTCTCTTGGTTCTTGTGGTTTGCTGGCCTCTGTCACGAGGGAACGCCAGTCTGCTGGTCCCATCTTGGCTCCTGTTGTTTGCTGGCCTCTTGTTGTCACAAGGGAACCTCAGTCTGCTGGTTCCCTCTTGGCTCTTGTGGTTTGTTGACCTCTTGTTGCCCAAGGGAACGTCAGTCTGCTGGTCCCCTCTTGGCTCTTGTGTACAGAAAGGGCACCTCCCTGAAATGAGACGGGAACCTCCCTGAAATAAGGTTTTGCAGGTTGGGATGTCTGGGTTTCTTGACCTCTTGTTGTCACAAGGGAACCTCAGTCTGCTGGTCCCCTCTTGGCTGCTGTTTCTTGCTGGTCTCTTTTTGCCCCAAGGGAACATCCGCCTGCTGGTCCCCTTTTTGCTCCTGTGGTTTGCTGGCCTCTTACATCATGCAGGAAGTGAGGAGGTTTATGATTGATTGTGAACAAACTTCTTAATGAGCTGCTCAACTTTTGGTCTGGTGGATAGTTGTGAGAACATTCCTTCAAAGCTCCGTTAAGTGGTGGGACAGAAGACAGGCAGTTATTTCCTCAATTCTCTTCCTCTTTTGGCTATTGCAAAAATATATAATTTTGGAAGATTTCTTACATTTAATTTGGGTTGGCAATGTAACAGTATTGTACCAGCCTGGCCAGTAAGCAATAGGACCTATTGCGAATGTTATTAATAGGAAAGAGGTCACAAGGCTGGTATGTCCTCCCAGAAAAGGTAGCTGCCTTATACTCCATGGGATTCATTTATAGGTTTTACATGGCAGAGGTGCCCCTAGATGGCGCTGACGAGTATGGGAAATTCCGGCAGAACGTTTATAAATGACCCCCCTTGTGTTGGTTTAATCTGAAATAATGGCATGGCTCTATTTCAGGCTGGACAGTATGTTTCTTTACAAAGATCAGACACGGATTTCTGGTGTGTGAGCCCGGTGAGTGGTGAAGTTATCCCAAAAGATGTAAACACCGCGGAGAACATAAATTGTAAGTGTTAGAATATTTTTCTTTGAGAAGATTAAGACGTGACATAAATATTATGGGGCTGATTTATACATTTCCCACCCGCGTATAGCTGAGCGAATGCCGCTCACACTGTGTTACTGCCACTAGATGGAGCCAAGGAGCATAGGAAATTCCTATTCTTCTTGGCTCCATCTAGGGGCTGCAATGTCATGTGAGCGGTATTTGCTCAGCTATTCCCTGGGCAGAAGATTTATAAGGGCTAGTTCACACCAGCCACAGTGCGTTCTGGCCCGATTGTGGCCAGAACGCCCTGAACCGCATAGTGGCCAGCTCACTTTTTTGTGGGGCGGTAGGGGGCATGGCGTAGCCACGCCTTCTGACCACAATGCGATCGGCCATACGGGAACGCAAGGCACATCAATGCCTGCGGTCGGGTCAAGTGCTGCAAGCTCTGTTCTTTCTGACTGGACCGGAACACACAGGCATTGATGTGTCACGCGTTCCTGCATTGCGGCCGGAGGGCGTGGCTATGGTGCCATTCACTTCAATGCACCGCCACACCCCCTCCCGCCCCACAACAAAGCCAGCTGGCCGCAATGCGATCCAGTGCGTTCCGGCCAGAATTGGACCGGAACGCACTGTGGCTAATGTGAACTAGCCCTTAAATCAGTCCCAATGAACACATGAAAAAGTCTAAAATCAAAAACAAAATATAAAAATATAGTAGTAGCTTCCATTTCTTTAGATGTGGTGGCTGCACTCGTTTTCTTTATTCAGGCTCAGTAAATTTTCTGCAAGTACAGAAAAATGTCAGTCTATCCTGCTAGAAAATCCAATGTCCTTTTGACTTCCTGTGCACTGAACTGAAATCCCAAACATTGTTATCAGCCTTTCACAGTTGTCTTCTGTGAACTACAGTGCACCCCTCTATGCTATAGAGATGAAGAGAGGAGGAGGTGTTCTATTGTTAGGGTGACAACCCTGCTCATTCATAGAGTACAGTGAGTACGCGTTGTCACCATAGGACAGGAAGTGTGTTACTGGCAGGATCACCAGGCAAAAATGCGGCCATTAGATCTAAGGATGAAAAAGTTAAAATGTTTTGCATTATTGTTTTTGTTCTTAGATATTCCTTAAAACATTATTCCATGTCACCTCCAGGTTCAAGCCTTTGCACTGTATTTCCTGGAGATAATTCAGAAGGTGAAGGGATCGGTCTTGCTTGCAGTAGGGATGGAACCCAGTCCCGGGAGCAGTGTGACCGGGATAACAATGTGTGTTATTGTCTATTCCCAACTACCGAAGAGGCTGCTGGGACTCGGGTCACCCTGGCGGAAAGGTCAGCCTCCTCGTGCCAGGGTATGTACTAATCACCTACATCGGATCCCCAAATAATATAATATCCAGATTTGTTGTTTACCTTCTAGAACAGCCTTTCTCCACCGGTGTGCCGTGGCACTTCGGGGTGCCTTCTGGCTTCCTCAGGGGTGCCTCAGCATTCCCGATGGTAGGACTCTGATGTAAAGGGAGTATTTTGATGTAAAAGGGGGATTACAATATGAAAGGGGGGCTCTAATATAAAGTGGTCCTGATATAGAGGGGTGCTTCTAATGTAAAGGGGGGATAGTGATGTGAATGGGGCTACTGATGTGAAGGGGGCTCCTGATGTGTGGGAGGGCTTCTGATGTGAAGGTGGGCCTCTGGTGTGAAAGGAGGGATACTCTGATGTAAAAGGAGGGAGCTTCTATTATAGAGGGTGGATACTGATGTGAAGGGGGCTTCTAATTGAATGTGGGGTTCCTGATGTGAAGGTGGGGTTCCTGATGTGTGTGTGTGTGTATGTGGGGGGGGGGGCTTCTGATGTGAAGGGGGGCTTCTGATGTGAATGGAGGGCTTTTGATGCAAAGGGGGGCTCTTGATGTGAAAGGAGGTATACCCTGATGTAAAAGGAGGGAGCTTCTAATATAAAGAGGGGCTACTGATGTGAAGGCGAGATTTCTGATGTGAAGGGGGGCTTCTAATTGGAAGGGGGGCTCCTGATGTGGAGGTATACCCTGATGTGAAAGGAGGAGCTTCTAATGTAAAGGGGGACTCTGATGTTAAAGGGAGGATTCTGATGTGAACAGAGGGGTACTCTGATGTAAAGGAGGGCTCATGATTTTAAGGAAGGACTTTGATGCAAAGGATGAAACCCCACTTTTTTTGTGTGTTTTTGCCTGGAGGTCTCCCCCTTAAATTGTAGACTGGGGTGCCTTCAGATTTTGCAAACTTTTTAGGGGTGTTGTAAGTGAAAAAATGTTGAGATACACTGCTTTAGAACAAGGATAGATAACAATAACTCAATAAGTCATTCTCCCTAAAAAGCACATATAGCCGTAAGAGTAGGGAAGGGTTTAAACCACTATCAGTTTATTTTTTAGCTGTCTGTATCCCATTGGGGAGATTTCCTTTCACTTCCTGTCTGGGAGACACAGCAGGAAATAAGAGGACATTTCTGCGTTCGATAGTTGTCACCAGAACATTTGTTCCCATTGGATCATTCTGCTACTACAACTCAAAATGTTGGATGTTCCCTGACTATCATCCCCGTGACATGGACTAGCAGGGCAAAAAAAGGGGCGTGGGGCATTGCAAGACTCTGGGAGCCACAGGCATGACTTGCAGAGGCATGATGGAATTTATGAGCAAGAGTACTTAGGTTGCGTACCACTGGTCTAAACCTTCCCCATTTTATCCAAAACTAAAAACAAAACAAAATAGCTTTTGTCTTTACATCCACAGTGACATTTGCTGACATAAGACACTGGCCACACAGGGAGGGCATTGTTTTTAATGAGTTGGGTAGACTTATAGACTTGCACTGTAAAGCCGGCCATACACCTTACAATTATCTGCAGATTTTCTGTGGTCAGATGGAAAAGGTGCAACAGATTCCTCCGTCTACACTTAAAGGAGAACTATGAGATGAGTGATTTCCACTCACCTCATAGTTCTAGCCGACCTGTGACAATGAGACTGTCACAGGTCGGCTCAGTAGATCGGGAGGTGAGAGAACACATACCAGGTTCCCTCACCTCTCGATCCTGTCGCGGCTCTCTGCCGTGAAAGGGGGAGGGGCTGGATTCCCCTCTCCCCGCTCCGATCCTCCAGCGCTGACTGGCGGAACGGATGGGGGAGGGGCGGGTACAGCTGGCTCTGCCTCTAGATAGGCAGAGCCAGCGGTCACTCACGCAGCTGGGCGGATCTCGACGTCCATGTCGGGATCCGCTCCGGCTGCGGCGTCTCAGTATACTGAGCTTAGGGTAACGGGAGGACGCTAGTTTGTGTCCTTCCGTTACCCTAAGGAGAACTATGGGGGAAAAAACTGACCCCATAGTTCTCCTTTAACTGTGTGGATGGAGGAATCTCCACCTGGGCCAATCTGTTACACTTTTCCATCTGACCACAGATCATCTGCAGATAATTGTAAGGTGTATGGGCACCTTTAGAAGGAGCAGTAAAGCACAACTGTTGTGTAAGGTTGCAAAGAGGGAGGCATGTGTAAAGAACAAATATATCTGTCCCCATGTGCACATATAATTATAACATACATGTTCATAGAAATACTGTAAGGGTTTTAAACCATTAGCTCATATTGATAACATTATGTACATTAAGCTGCTCTATTTCCCTTCACATGTGGCTGTTGTTTGGTTTAGATACCATTCCTAACAAAGTGTTTCCTCTTGTCGCTAGCCCCGGTGTGTGCACTTCCATTCGGCTTACAGGAAATCAAACACGGATCTCTATTCTGTTCGGTGCTTCTGGAGTCCGGGAAGAAGGTGCAGAAATGTCAGCTTGTGTGTCAGGAGGGCTACACCAATCTGTTCTCCACTTCCACATTCACATGTGACCCGAATTCCCGTCTCTGGGTACCCCAGTCACTGCACAGTCAGCCCTGCCAAAGTAAGGAGTCTATTGATCCTGTACCAAAGGGGGGAAATATGATGGCTCGGGGGCAATTTTATTTATTAATAAATTAATACATTTTATTATAATTTTTTACATTTGTAAGTTTTTAAAGTTTCAAATTTTTTCTAATTAATTATTTTATTTAATTATCATTTTTAGAATTGTTTTACATTTGTAAAATGTAAAAGAAACCTTTCTTTTTACATTTGTAAAAATTATTTTCTTTTTTCGAATTCATTAATTTATTTTCTTTTAATTTTTTAGACTTTTTTGTACATCTGCACGTTTTTAATATTACTTATTTTTCGATTGAATTCATTTCATTATAATTTTAACATTTGCAAGTTTTTAAAGTTTCTATTCAGTTTCTATTTATATATATTTCACAAATAAACATTCAAGACACATTACACCCATGACACAGGATTCCCAGAGCACTAGGGAGAGAGAGAGTGCAGCAGAAGTTGTTTTCTTTCTGACTTACTGTCTCTGAGCTCTGTATGACGCCACTTGGAGGTGGGCAGGGAAGGTGTGTGTGTGTGTGTGGGGGGTCATGATTTAAGGTCATTAAAGTATAACTGAAGCCCAAACCTTTCTTTTTAGTTTTGGATGGAGCAGAGAGCGATTAGAACACCTTTTAGGTTTTTATTGCTGTCTGTGTCCCCCTTAGGGAGATTCACCCTCTCCCTTTGTCCTGGTATCTTTGTGATAAGTGGAAGAACAGGAATAGATGTGACATCTTCCAATGGGGACACTAGTTCTGGTGACCGTTCTGACAACCAGAAATTTCCCTCACTTTGGAGGGAATTCCTCTCGCTTACTGTTGTGGCTATCAGACAGGAAGTGAAGGAAAATCTCCCAAATAGGATGCAGATGGATCATAACCCTCCCTCACTCTATCCAAAACTTAAAAAAAAGTTTTGTCTTCAGTTTTACTTTAAGTTATGTGTGTTCATTTTAGCTTGAGCTATTTGGCTCTGTTAACATTTGTTAAAAAAATGGGGGGGGGGGGGGGTTTATCAAAACTGGAGCAGGCAGAATCTGGAGCAGTCGCCCATGGCAACCAATCGGCTTCTCTCGTCAGTTTGTTCAGTTAATATTTGAAAATGAAAGAGAGAAGCTGATTGGTTGCCGTGCACAGCTGCTCCAGATTTTGTCTGCTCCAGTTTTGATAAATTCCCCTCGAGGTGTTTTCTCTGTTGTCTGGATAATTAAATATAAAACATTCATACGTAATATTTGGTTTTAATTTGAAAAATATATATATATTTTTCTATCAAATACTATACCTTCCCTTAAAAATCTGAGCATTGATGCAGATTCTTCTGTGCGGTTACTATGACCTACCTTGCGTATCCTGGGGCAAAGATTTTGACAACATACAGATGTTAAAAAAGCCTAACCATTCAGCTAGACCAGGGGTGGGCAACTCCGGGCCTCCAGCTGCTGTGGAACCACAAGTTCCATGAGGCATTGCAAGATTGACAGTTACAGACATGACTCCCAGAGGCAGAGGCATGTTGGGATTTGTAAAAGCAAAGCTGGCGGCCCAAAGTTGCCCATCCCTGAGCTATACAGTTGTTCATCAATTGCTTTATTATCTTAATTGACAGATTTAATTCGCTTGGCTTATGTCGGAAAGATAATGTGAAATGATGGTCACGGAGTTGGCTACAAATGTGATATTTTCTGTCACAGCCAACACAGTTTTGTGTGGGCTGTACCATTGGTCATGGTCCTCCTAGCACTTGTTAATGATCATTATGATACAAATCGGTCATTGTGTTTTCAGGGGTGAAGCCGTTCAGTATGGTCCGGACTCAGGCTTGGTTCCAGCTCTTGCTCCCCGCTGGTAAAATGTGTACCGAGGACTACTTGGGATTATTAGAAGCATTTCGAACCTTCATATTAGACGATCTGAGGGCCAGAGGACTCTGTCATATTCAGGTAGAATGTCTGCTCTTCCTCTACAGGAATAACGCTAAAAAAAAAATCCGGTGTGGGGTCCCCCTCCCGATCCATACCAGACCCTTTAGGTTTGGTAAGAATGTTAGGAGGGACCCCAAGTTAAAAATAAAAAAAAAAGTGCAATGGCTGTTGGGGGGCAACAGCCATACCAGGCCCTTTAATTCCCTTAATCCGAGCACAGGCCTGCCAGGGCAGGAAAGGAGGGGGGGACAAGCAAGCCCCCTCCCCCCACCCTCCCTGTGCCATACCAGGCCACATGCCCTCAGTACTGGGAGGGTGCTTTTCCACTGCCCCCCCCTGGAAAGCAAATTGTCCCCATGCAGATGAGGGCAAGGACCTCTTCTGCCACAACCCAGGCCTAGTGGTTGTGGGGATCTGCGGGCAGGAGGGCTTATTTGCATTGGGGTACCACCTTTAATAAAGGGGGCAGCCAAATACGTCGGGATTGTCAGATGAACGGATGATCCGACACTCCCGGCGCAGAAACTGGGGCCCGTCGGCCGCTGGATACCGATCCGGTGGCCGGCAAGTCCCACAGTCCCACCATCTA